CATTTCCAGTCAGAATTAAGACAATAAAGTGAGGTTACCAGACATTTGTTTTTCTTTACTTTCCTGTATGATGCAACACACTGCACAAATGTTGATAGGATGTGTTGCCTTCCATCTACAGAGGAACTGAATTTCCCAGCAGGCACCAAAAGTCTTGGCTCTCTATCTGAAGAGGAACCACAGTCTCGCAAAAGGCTTAGGCATCCTCTAGCCCTATGGCTTTGAAAGACTTCCAAGTTCCAGCAGGGTCTGGCAAGAATGTCCTTTTTATTTATGAAAAAATTACTACTCCCAGCATGACTTGCAAGTCATTGGCACCCCAATGGACTAGATGCCTTAGGGTAGCCTTTAAAGCCTCAGGGCAATCCTGGGACTTGTAGTTCTGCTACAACTGGAAGCTTAATATTGATATAGAATCAAGGAACTAAAAGTTCCTTCACAACTGCTGCGACATGTAGTTGCTCTGCATTTCCAAATACTGGTGAGACTCAATGAAGATGGTAGATCCACCAGTTAGCAGAAAGCTAGAATTGTATCCTGGATACTAAAATTCTATCTATGGTCCGTAGCTATAATGAGACTTGTAGTTCCACTGCAGCTAGATGAAACCTGGCATAGCATCCTGAAGAATACAGTCCCACCAGTACTCCAAGCCAAAGGGTACAAAGGTATGCTGGCATATTAGTTCCACTACAGCTAACCAAATGCTGATATGGCAGCCGCGACCACATATTCCCAGCATAGCTGCACAAAATGAGAACCAAGGCATGCTGGTTACCCAAATGCTTTACAAGATGCCTTCTGGCACTTGTAGGTCACAGACAGGGCCACTAATGAGCCTGTGACTGACCATGATGTATAGACTGGTGATGTACAAAGGCACAGCGTAATTATTCAGTCCTTACCTTGAGTCGCTGACACGATAAACTGCGATAAGATGAACGACAGAGCACAGATCGGCAGAAAATCCATCACTAGCCTTTCCTCAGGGTGCCTGAAAGAGAATGCACGTGCCGTAATCCTCCCATCTCTAATCCTTGGTATACGATGCCCCTTATGGACAAAAGGAAGGCGTTCAATGTGCTCCTGGGAACAATCGCTCATTTAATCTCCTCTTCACACTCTCACCTTCAAGACTTCTCTATGCCTTCCCTTCCACATGCCGCTTGGCATTCACTGACCCTTTGAACACTCTCTTATAATTCACCTATTCAAGCAAGCATATAATGCAATCAGATCCACCTCCTGCTTCCTCCCTAACTATCTGACAAAGCACACATAGTTGTCATATGCATAGCTGGTTTAATCCCTTTATTCTTGATGTATGTGCCCTATTCCTCTAATTTAGCCTTTCTCAACCAGGGTTCTGAGGAACACTAGGGTTCCTCTGTTGATTGCAAGGGGATCCTTGAGCAATGGACAATTTCTGCTTCTGAGATAATGATCTGTATAGCTATCTGTAAGGGGGGAGATTCTTCCCACTGACCACCAATGTAAGGAGCATTCTTCCCACTGACCACCAGTGTAAGGAGCATTCTTCACAATGATCACCAATGTAGGGAGCATTCTTCACACTGATCACCAATGTAGGGAGCATTCTTCACACTGACCACCAATGTAAGGACCATTCTTACCACTGACCAACCTTGTAAGGAGCATTCTTCCCACCTGATCACCAATGTAAGGTGCATTCTTCCCACTGACCATCACTAAAATAATTTAGTGAGCTGTAGATCTAGTAATTCTTAGCAGGGGTTCCCTGAGACCGGAAACTTAATTTAAGGGTTCCTTCATGGTAGAAAGGTCGTATTTTTGGCACAGCCAGGGCTCTTGCTCCTATTGTGTTTTTTTGCCTTTTTTTTGTCCCATGTTTTACCTTGCAATTTTTTATGCACTTGTTTCTAAAACTTTTATCTGCCTTGTTTATCCTGTTCGTAGCACTTTATACAGCAACACAAAAGGAGATGAGCTATAGGATTTTATTTTTAATATAGTGCCAAAGTCTTTTTTTTTTATGTTGCTGTGAGAGCATACAGAGGTTATAACAATATAACGGACAAGTGAACGAACCTTTGCAATGCTAATCCTGCCCCGAAGGGTTTATTATTAATAATAATCATCATCATAATAATAATCGTAGTACTACAGCAAAGCCCCCGACCGTCACACTCACCTTGACTGTTCCTCCTACCAATTCAGGACGGGTCAGGGACGGACAAAGCCTCTGTTCATTATTTCTTTCACAGTTCTGCTTTTGTCTTCAGGATTTCCAGTTCCGATGAGTAACTAGAAAGCAGATCTGTCAGTCCAAAGAACGCCCAGATATTGCAAGCTGAAGAATTGGGTCCTCTCTAGGATGTCTGTTGCTTTACTCCGATGAGGAGGTGTTGGCAGCCTCTAGCCATGCAGGAATTGGTGCACAGGAACGGGTGAAAAAAAAAAAAGAAAGACACCAGGCAGTTCTACAATACGGTCTCGTCTGTCTCTGTCCAGCATCCATTCTCCTGAAGGCAGGAATCATTTGGAACAACTGTACTCCTGCCTTTTTTTCCCTGAGCATGCATGCACGCCTCCAACAATGCTGTTAGTCATTCACCGAGCTTGTTAGAAAACATGAAGTGGAATTTGTATTAAAAAATTAATAATAATAATAATACATATATCTCTATAGCACCTGTATCGCAACAACGCCATGCGACTGAAAAAAAAATAAAATGTTCTGCTTGTACACTTAGAAAAAGGGTCTACAGCTTTCTAAAAAGCATATAATGTAAGTGCTGCCTAGTCAAACACTGAAAACATTTCTAGCTGCAAGCAAATAATTAAACGTTTAATTAAAAGCTCTAATTACCAGTTTTTTGGACTAAAAGCGCCGTGGCTGTGCGAACACAGTGTTTTATTGAATGCGGCTTTGTTACATGCGATGGCAAAAATCATAGTGTTGTAGAACAGATGGGGGAGGGGGAGGGGTTATGTATAA